GGCCCGACTAATAATCGTGCCATGGCGGGCCGGGCCGTGCCAGGCACGATTAAGATGGGCCGTGCCGTGCCGTGCCGGGCCGGCCCGTTTGGCCAGCTATGAGCCCGTCCTCCGCAGACGAGAGAATTTACCATGTACACCATTAGGTGTTTCGTAAATTGCATAAATAGCCTTGCACCAATCATTGTCTCACTTCGCGCACAAAGCTCTCTTCGATGCTCCAGTCGACTATGAACTTATATGCGAACTCGTACAACTTAGGGGGTGTTCTGGAAATGTTGTTTCCCGCAAGAAAATATCCTTTTCTTCCCCTGCTTGCTCACCCCCACTCTCACGGTCTCACCTCGCTCCTCTTCACTTCCTCCCTCGGCTTCGAGTTTTTTTCTCTTTTTTTTCTTCCCTTTTTTCCATTTCGATTTCCTTCTTCGTCGAGTTTGGGTTGGATTAATCCCCGACCCAAACCCTAATAATCGATCTCCCTGACCCGGGACGACGGCCCGGGGATCGATCGCCATGCAGCAGAGGATGAAGCAGGCGGCGGCGGTAGCGGCGCAGCAGCAGCAGCAGATGATGCAGCAGGCGCTACTCATGCACCACCACCAGCAGCAGGCGGCGGCCGCGGCGGCCGCGGTGCCGCCCATGTTCCCGCCGCACCACGCGCACCCGGGTCTCCTCGCCGCGCCGCATGTGGGCTCCTTATCTTGCTCCCCCGTGGTTACTGCTCGCTCGATCGCTTTCGTCTGCGCTGGGTTGGTGGCCTCTGGAGGTGTCTGGGGTTCCAGGTGTGGGGAGTGCGGTGTTTCCCGTTCCCGCGGTGTCGGTGACAGCTAGGGGTTTCGCTGGCATGGCTCCGTGTTCTAGGGTTGGAGTCTCTCATTTTGGTTATTCGGTTCAAATGGTGGGGATTTGGTTGCTTCGCTGTTGCGATTTTTCATTTCGTCGGTTCCTCTAGGGAGTCTATTAGTTCTCTTCGTTGTGAGCTTGCTCGTCAGGAAAACTTTAGTTTGTCTTATGTTTTGTTTGTCGAATTAGGGTTTTGATCAGACCGGGTCGTTTTTGAGTGGATTTCACATCTCTGGTATTGCAAGCTAAGTAGCTACTTTACCAATTATTTGTTTTTTTACTACTGTTTAGAGGAGTTATGCTTGAGTACGCCGCGTGGAATTAGGTGCATGTGGTTGTGATTTACAATTAAGATTACGGGCAGGTTTAATGAGTGACAATAGTGAGATAAATATGTTTGTGTTAGAGTTTATGTGATATTGTAAGCGCCCTAGTGCTAAATACTTGTTAGTTTCTTAAATGTGAAGTGGAAAATATGCAGTGAGAACTGTGAATGAGCTCGTAAGGTCTGTGAAGGTCAGGTGAAATTTGTCTGGTGACTGCTAAACAAGTCACCATTTAGAGATGTGGGTTACGTTTTGGTTGTCTCTGATCATAAATAAGTGCACATTTAGTGGTGACTGAAATGTGAATGTACCATAACTATGCTCATTCCTTTTCCTTCTTTCATCCTGTTTGTCAGTTCAGAGGGTACTCCAATTTTGAGTTTTGGTGCATAGGTTGCATTAATGCTGAACTCCATTTATTCTACTCCCTCCGATCGATATTACTTGTTGCTCAAACGGATGTATCTAGCACTGAAATACAACTAGATACGTCCGTTTGAGCGACAAATAATATGGATCGGAGGGAGTATTAATACTTGCATGACATGTTTTCTTATACATGTAGCTGTTCCAAGTGCTAGTTAGGATGCGTTTGGTTGAAGGTGTCATATGAATGGGTTGGGACCGTCCAATTTATTTGGGATTGAACCATTCAATTCATGCGTTTGGCTGAATATAAGAGATGAGCTAATTATTTAGGACGGGACCACCAGTCATGCTCACATAGTCATGCATGCAAAGCGTGGCCATTTGATTCGACCGATTTGGTTGGGTGGAACGGTTCAGCATCTTCAAGGCATATTCTCTTTTTTTGACTTGAACCATTCATGTGCTTTATAACCAAACATGTCTATTTTTTGAACGATCCCAACCCATTCATGACCACCCTTGTAACCAAACGCACCCTAGTGAATCCGTTTGCATATCTAAGAGTCAGTTGTGCAAAGCTCTGGTAAACATGTTCTAAGTAGATGCGTTTTCCAATAGTGCAGCACTGCAAGTACTGCCTTTCACTGAGTACAGTTAAGTGTGTCTTTACATGTCGGTAGTATTGTACAGCGATTTCTTTCAGCTTGTCTCCGCACATAATTCAGTAACTGCAAGAAATCCACAGGAAAACTAAAATGAGTAGAAAATGGTGGACATTGGTCTTCCTGCAATGCTCATTTGGGGAATCGTGCATGCAGCGACATATTGTAGATCTGTACAGCGTTCCTGAATCACGTGTCCTCTGGACCAGGGGTCTAGCTTGGTCTTCATTGCATACCTTACTGCATTCGTATTGTTTTGTTTGATTTTGATTTTTGATATTACATATTTTCACTTCTACTGTTTGTTTGGCTCTTATTTTCCTTTCAAAATGTTAGGGCTGTATTCTTTGTTTGTGACACCCGTAATTTTGCAGATAGAGCCCATCGTTAGTGGGAACCTGCCTCCTGGGTTTGATTCAAGCACGTGCCGCAGTGTGTAAGTGGTTGATTATTTCAACCTTCTAGTTATCTTGTGCCGTCTTACTGAAATTAAATATAAAATTGTACAAAACACGATACTTCTTTGTAAAATGTGTGCCCTGTCTCTTATAGTAAACTCCAATTAAATATAAAATTGTACAAAACATGATACTTCTTTGTAAAATGTGTGCTCTGTGTCCTATAGTAAACTCCAAACTGGATATGTTCTAGGACTGCGGACTGCCTGATGACATGTATCAAGTTCTCTTCTGCTTATTTGTACATCAAACTGCACATCATTTCCTTATGTTACTCACCACTCAACATTATTATTCTGAATAGGTATGTTGGCAATATCCATCTTCAAGTCACAGATTCACTACTGCATGAAGTTTTCCAGAGTATTGGTCCAGTTGAAGGGTGTAAGCTCATTAGGAAAGAAAAGGTAACTTGTGCTCTTTAAAAATAGATGCCATTGTGGTACTTTGTATTTGGTGCAAGTTTAAGGCATTTATTCAATAGTATCAGATAATGCTGTGTGTTACATTCTGGCACGATGTAGACTGCCACCCGCAATGCATGCTCTCAGACAGAAGGATTTATGGTATCAATAGTCAATATTTGATTTGTTGGTTTAACAGTGTTTATTTTTGGATCTCAGAACCCTACTGTGTGAAAGCTGTAAGGGACTGTTTTGGACCATTTGTTTGAATTGGTATGGTAGATAAATGCCATCAAACCCAGTTCTGAGCAACTTCCTGCAAGGAAGCTTTCTGATGTTGACTGACTGCACAATCAACAAATGCTCACATGGGATAGGTAGATAAATAACTAATTTGGCCTCTTGTTAGGACTGTTAACTTGATATTTTAGTGATGCCGTCTTCTATCTCTTGAAAAAAGCGTGCTGCATTTTTGTTTGTGTTATTTACTTAGTTCACCACTACAATTCGTTGTAGAACAGCTAATGCTGAATTAGTCATATTGTTTCTGTTAATATTTTATCCATCTTTGTTCTTATCATCTCGCAGTCATCTTTTGGTTTTGTTGACTATTATGACCGTAGATATGCTGCAATTGCTATTGTGTCACTCAATGGTAGACAACTGTAAGTGTTTTCTTTCAATATTAATTATCTATGAACAGATATTAATGCAGTGTCCCATGTTCTACATTAACGTTTCTTATAATACTGGATAACCAGGTTTGGCCAGCCAATAAAAGTCAATTGGGCATACGCAAGTACCCAGAGAGAGGATACATCAGGTCTGGTACTGAAATATGGTCTAAATGTTCCATTATATATACTTGTTTTTTTTTTCCAGTGTATGTGCATCCTTTTAGATTTGAGACTGTTATAACTGAGATCTGTATGGCTGTTTATTCTTGCAGGTCATTTTAACATCTTTGTCGGGGATCTTTGCCCGGAGGTTACGGATGCTGCTTTGTTTGCTTTTTTCTCGGCATATTCTACCTGTTCGTAAGTGTTAGATAGCTCTGTGTACTTCATCCCATTTGTACAGTATATTCTGCCTTACCACTTTAGCTTGGTAACTTGTGCAGAGATGCTAGAGTTATGTGGGATCAGCAGACTGGACGATCTAGAGGGTTTGGTTTCGTTTCTTTTAGGAATCAGCAGGTAGTGTCACCATGGCAACTTAAAACATTAGTCTGGACTCAGAACTAATGTTGAGTTTATATGAACTGCTATTCATCATCTTCCTTTGTTATTCATTGACAGGATGCACAAACTGCCATGAATGAGTTGAATGGTGCGCTCCCTATGTCTAATTCTGGAGTTGACAAATCAGCTTCAGTGATGTGATGATAATGTATGTTTGTTTTTCTTGTGTTCAGGAAAGTGGCTTGGCAACCGCCAAATTCGTTGCAATTGGGCGACGAAGGGCGCTAATGCTGGTGAAGAGAAGCAAAGTACAGACTCCAAGGGTATGGTGGAATTGATAAACGGCTCATCAGGTGAATCTATATGCACTTGTTTCTTAGGTATTTGTTTTAATTTAAGGTTATATGATATGGAACAATCGGCTTGCAACAAGTTGAACTATTAGTTATCATTATTGTGGGAGTTTAGGTTTCTAATCTTTATCTATTACCCTTGGAGTTGAATTTACTTCATAGTCTGTTACATTTGCCAACTCCACTTCAACATAAGGGTTCCAGTCTTAATCCTTAGCAGAATAGGAATTAAAATAATATTTGCTTCGCACAGAATCTAGCCACATAACCTTGTGAAATCTTTTGTGGTAACTACGACTAGCGAAGTAATTTCATTGTTCCTGTTTTACAGAGGCTGGCAAGGAGAATGCAAACGAAGATGGTCCTGAAAATAACCCACAGTATACAACTGTTTATGTTGGCAATCTTCCCCATGATGTACTTTCTTGATTCCTGTTCTTTTGCATTGTTCTTGTTTGCTCATCACTAACTTGTCAATTCTGTTTATTAGATCAACAGCAATGATGTGCATCGATTTTTCCATTTACTCGGGGCTGGCTCAATTGAGGAGGTCCGTGTAACACGCGATAAAGGATTTGGCTTTGTGAGATATAGTACCCATGAAGAAGCTGCACAAGCAATACAGACGGGTAATGGCCAACTTATTGGCGGGAGGCAGATCAAGGTACTCTCTTTAGACATTGACATCCCCACCAATGAATTCCATTTCTCTTGGTTACCTTAGTTCCTCGGATGTAACAGAGGATAAAAGGGTTTTAGTGATTGAGTTTTCATATCATGCAGTGCTCTTGGGGAAGCAAACCAACTCCACCAGGGACAGCATCTGCGCCTCTGCCTCCTCCGGCATTAGCGCCATACACCCCTGGCGTGTCAGCAGCTGACCTCATCTCCTACGACCGATCCCTTGCTCTGAGCAAGATGGCTGCTGACCCGGCCCTGGTGGGTCAGCACGCCGCCCTGAGGCAGGCCGCGATGGATATGGGCGCCGGCGCCCGCAAGGCCATCTTTGACGGGGGCTTCCAGAGTGTCAACCCTCAGCAGCAGCAGCAGCAACAGCAGCAGCTCATGTACTACTGAGTGTATGAAGCAAGTATGCTGGCGACGGAGGGGATTACAACACCCTCCTTCCTAATGTATATACATATATGGTAGATGAAGCCTCACCAGGGCCTTTTCTTTTGTTATTACTAGTCCAACATCGCAATTAGTAATCTACTATCCTTCAGCTGTTAATGCTCCGGGTCGCCGGCTATATATAGCACCAATGTACTAGAACATACGTATCCCTGACGTGTTTTGGGCAATTCTTATTTTTAATAACTACTCCCACTGATCCAAAATAATTGTCAGTTTTGAACTAAGGTTAGTCCAACCTTAATTCAATACTGCAACACTTATTATGGATAGAGCTAACCTTAATTCAAAACTGTGACGCTTATTTTGGATTGAAGGGAGTAGCATATATGACCATGTGTTACAACGGGAGAAAAGAAAATGATGTGCTCAGGTGTGGAGTAAATGCAGGTTGTGATGAACCAGGTGTTGCAACGGGAGAAAAGAAAATGATGTGCTCAGGTGTGGAGTAAATGCGGGTTGTGATGAACCAGGTGTCGGGTTGAGGATAAGGCTGGTCATAGTGGGGAGTAACTTATACTAGTGTCATAGATATGACACTAGTCTAAGTTATTACCTCTATAGTGCAAAGTAATTAATAATAGTGTCATAGTGGATATGACATTAGTCTAAGTTACTATCTTCATAGTGCAAAATAATTAAATAATAGTGTCATAGATGGTTTCATTTATTAGCTCGTAGACTCATTTTGCCTCGGAAAATGCTATGTTACAGTAACATATTATGTTACCACAAGCACCTCTTTCCTTATTAAATACTTGCCACATAAGCAAAATTGTATTGAGATGTGTTAAGTTACTACCTAAGTTACCCCACTATGGCTAGTCTAAGGTCGCTGGTGACAGATTTGATGGATCTATTGATAGCATGGATCTTTGGGCGCTAGTTCGGGACATGGAACATGATTTATAGTCTGAGGTAATCCCATTGGAAGAACTTGTAAAATACGAAATTGTGGTCACTTAACTTGTTTTAGAGCGACTCTAGCAGACCCCGCATCCCATCGGTTCCCAAAACACATTTGCAGTTCGCGCAAAACCACTTTTGCAGGTTGGCACAAATGCAGACTCCCAAACAGATCCGTAAAAAAGTATATTCACGAAATATATTAGTTTATGGGTCGGTTTTGTGGGGTCTGCTCTTTGCGCCGCTGCATCTCGCATATCATCGGTCCGCAAATATCAAATCCAACATAATTCAACAATCGAAAACAAACTGAATTATTCAAATCAAACATAATACAATAATCATCCGCATTACAAATAATTATTCAAATCACCGTAGCAAACTTAAATAATGCAATACGAAACTTGTCATGAATACAAATACAAATGAATACAAAAATTAGTCACTGTCCAACCCTTTGTCAATGGTGCTCAATGAGATCCTCCTGAAGTTGAAAGTGTGTGTCTGCATTTTCAATCTTCTTGTATGTCTCAAGAAAAGCTCTAATGCAGTTTGGGTCTCTAACTGGTTTGACACGGCTACTCACATTGTCGTAAAAGAATTCTAAGTTCATTCCTCTCTCATCTTCAATAATCATATTGTGCAGGATAACAGAGCATGTCATGATGTTCTTCAAGGTTTTCTTATTTCAAAAACGAGCAGGACCACGGACAATGGCGAACCTAGATTGCAAAACACCGAATGCTCTTTCAATGTCTTTTCGGGCTGCCTCTTGCACCCTTGCAAATTCACATTGTTTCATTGTTTTGGGTTCTTTGATGCTCTTGACAAATATGCACCAAGGAGGGTATATACCATCTGCAAAATAGTACCCCTTTGTGTATTCATGCCCATTGATAGTGTAGTTGCAAGCAGGAGCATCACCACTAGCAAGCCTAGCAAACAAATGAGACCGTTGCAACACATTGGTATCATTGAGAGTGCCCGGCATACCAAAAAAGCAATGTCAAATCCATAAATCCTCGGATGCTATGGCCTCTAGCACAATTGTTGCATCACGAGACTTGCCACAATACATCCCTTGCCAAGCCTTGGGGCATTTTTTCCAATTTCAATGCATACAATCAATGGTACCTAGCATGTCAGGCCAACCTCTCCTCTCATTAGATGCCATCAATTTCTTTGTGTCATCTTCATTGGGTGCCCGAAGATACTCAGGACCAAAGATACGGACAATCACTTTCGCAAATCTACGCACATACTCAATTGTGCTATCTTCACCAATGCGAAGATACTCATCGGCATAGTCAGCCGGAACGCCATATGCAATCACCCGCATAGCCTCGGAGATTTTTTGATATGCACTAAATCCCTTTAAGCCCGCGACATTCCTTCTTTGAGTAAAATACCAGCAATTTGCCTCGCAAGCTTGAACAAGTTTCACAAAGAGGGATCGGCACATTCGGTACCTTCTCCGGAAGAGGTGCGGAGGATATGTAGGATTCTCCGCGAAATAGTCTTGCATCAACATCTCGTTCCCAAGATGGCGATTCCGAGGAATGCACAGACGCCCGACAGTCGATCCTCGCCTCCTCTTTCGGTGCTCGTCTTCATGCTCCTTCACGGCAAGCTCCATGACTAATGTTTGCTGCCGAAAGGTCGCAAGCATGGTCTCAACATCCGAGTCGTCCGAATCGGACAAATCGGAGAGAAAGAACTTCTCACATGGTGAAAGATCGTGGATGTCGCCTAGAGGGGGGGGGGGTGAATAGGCATTTTAAAATAATTACGGTTTAGGCTTGAACAAATGCGGAATAAACCTAGCGGTTAATTTGTCAAACATAAAACCTACAACAACTAGGCTCACCTATGTGCACAAACAATTTATGCTAAGCAAGATAAACTACTAGGTGATAGCAAGATATATGACAAGAAACAATATGGCTATCACAAAGTAAAGTGCATAAGTAAAGAGCACGGGTAAGAGATAACCGAGGCACACGGAGACGATGATGTATTCCGAAGTTCACACCCTTGCGGATGCTAATCTCCGTTTGGAGCGGTGTGGAGGCATAATGCTCCCCAAGAAGCCACTAGGGCCACCGTAATCTCCTCATGCCCTCGCACAATGCAAGATGCCGTGATTCCACTAAGGGACCCTTGAGGGCGGTCACCGAACCCGTACAAATGGCAACCCTTGGTGGCGGTCACCAAACCCGTACACTTTGGCAACCCTTGGGGACGGTCACCGATACCCGTCAAATTGCTCGGGGCGATCTCCATAACCTAATTGGAGACCCCGATGCTTGCCCGGAGCTTTACACCACAATGATTGAGCTCCGAACAAAACCAACCGTCTAGGGCGCCAAGGCACCCAAGAGGAACAAGCTCTAGGGTGCCCAAACACCCAAGAGTAATAAGCTTCTCAAACTTCACTTCCACGTATCACCGTGGAGAACTCAAATCGATGCACCAAATGCAATGGCAAGGGCACACGGAGTGCCCAAGTCCTTTTCTCTCAAATCCCACCGAAGGAACTAATGCTAGGGAGGAAAATGAGAGGAAGAACAAGAAGGAGAACACCAAGAACTCCAAGATCTAGATCCAAGGGGTTCCCCTCACACAGAGGAGAAAGTGATTGGTGGAAATGTGGATCTAGATCTCCTCTCTCTTTTCCCTCAAAAACTAGCAAGAATCCATGGAGGGATTGAGAGTTAGCAAGCTCGAAGAAGGTCAACAATGGGGGAAGAACACGAGCTCAAAGGATAAAGTTCATTGGGGAAGAAGACCCCCTTTTATAGGTGGGGAAAAATCCAACCGTTATGCCCACAGCCCGCACAGAGCGGTACTACCGCTCCAAGGAGCGGTACTACCGCTAGGAGGCAAAAGGCCAGTAGAACCGTCGGAGCCATACTACCGCTCGTCCTCACGGTACTACCGCTCGACCTCACGGTACTACCACAAATGGTAGCAGTACTACTGTTTGCGAGCAGTACAAAAAAAATACTTTCGTGCCTACCTCCGCTGAGCAAAACACGAGATTTTGGTCCGGAGCGGTACTACCACTTAGGATCCACGGTAGTACTGCTCTGGAGCAGTAGTACCGCCCAGGAGCCGCGGTAGTACCTCCCAGGAGCCGCGGTAGTACCGCTCTGGAGCGGTAGTAAAAAATTACATCCGCTCTAGCCACGGCAGTACCGCTGCAGCCTTTACCAAAACAGCCACAACTTCTGCAAACGAACTCTGAATTCAACGAAACCAAGTTTGTTGGAAAGCTAACGACATGGGATAACACAATCTTGATAGAAATATCAATAAGAAGCAAATGAAAAAAGGCCATAAGAAAATGGTGAGAACCCTTCCTTGGATAAGACCGGTAAAACCTCCAACACCGAAAACATCATAGAAGACGCATGCGAACTCCGTTTTCGATGAACTCAAGCTTGTCATCAAGATGACCATAAGCTCTAAGACTCGCAAAGAGAACCAAACAAGAACGAAGAAAGATGATGCAAGGATGCAATGGTTTGAGCTCTCTATGAATGATACGATCAAGCTACTCATCGAGAGCCTCCCTTGATAGTACGACAATCGATCCTATAACCCGGTCTCCCAACTACCAATATGAGACCGGTAAAATAGAAAACCTATCAAGGGCAAACGTTTACCTTGCACAAAGTCCACTTGATCTAGATGTAGACGATCTTGACTTCCTCAAGTAGGACCACCTTTCTTGATTGCGTTGGCTCGGTGAAGACTAGTAGATTGCTCCCCCATACTCCATTATGGGTGAGCCACTTTTTGGCACATCTTCACAAGTCCATTGTCACCACAATGGACGACAATATTCAAGCACTTTATCTCTTCGTGATGCATCACTTGAACGTGCACACCGCAACCTAACCCCACAAAGAACTCTCACGAATACTATGGGTTAGTACACAAACCGTAATGGTCAATGCTTACCATACCATGGGATCACTTGATCCCTCTTGGTACATCTTCTATGCTTTGTGATTTGATCAACTTGATTCACT